GGAACATTTCAGATCAGGTGCTGATCTCAGAGAATCTCCCACCGTAGTTACCACAGCCTTTGTCTCTGAGAATTTGAAATGTTTGCCCTCAAAATTAGGTGCTTAAAATCAGTTTAATACATGGAGTTCAAGGAAGATGACCAAGAGCAATGCATTTATTTACGTCTCCCCTTTCCCCCTCCGTTCCTTAACTAGCGGCCCTGCCCAGGACTCCCAGGACTATTCCGAGGACAGTGCTGAGAGCACGCGCTCTTGCCTGGCACTGGATCTTAGAGGGAAAACTTTCGGTTTCCCCTGCTGATTATAATGTTTACAGTTGGCTTTACGTGTCTGACCTCCATTTTCTTGAGCTCAGTACCTTTCATGCCTATTTTATTGAGCATTTTAATCATGAAGGAATGTTGAGCTCGCTCAAATAATTTTTTGGCCTCTCTTGAGATGACCATTGCAGTATTCTTTGTTTTTGGTAACATGTTGCATCACATTTACTGATTTGTGTATTTTGAACCATCGATGTATCCCACAGATAAATCCCACTTGGTCATAATGCATGCACCTTTTAATGTGCTGCCCAAATAGATTTGCTAGTATTTTACTGAAGTTTTGTTTGTTTGTTTGCATTTCTGTTCACTGGTGATGTGGGCCTGTAATTTTCTCTACTTCTGGTGTCTACGGCTTTGGTGTCAGAATGATGCTGGCCTCATAAAATGAGTTTGGAAGTTTTCTGTTTTCTTTGATTTTTCAGGCGTTGAAGAAGGACTGGTACTAATGCTTCTTAAATGTTGCACAGAATTCCCCCAGGAAGCCACTCGTTCCTAGTATTTTTTTTGTGGAAATTTGCTTCAGTCTCCTTATTTTAGACTTTTACATCTTTTTCTTGACTCAGCTTTGGTAGGTTATATGGATCTCAGAATTTGCCCATTTCTTCTGGGTTATCAAATTTGCTAACATACTGTCGTTCATTAGTCCCTAAAGTGATTTTTATTTTTGAGGAATCTGGCATAATGGCTCCTCTTTCATTTCTGATTTTACTTGTTTGAATCTTCAGCTTAAGTGTTCTTTTTTTTAGCCAGGCTAAGCTTTATCAATTTTGTTTATGTTCTCATAAATCCAACTTTCAATTTGTTGATTTTTCTTTTGATTTATTATTCTTGATTTGATTTACTTCTATTGTAAACTTTATTTTTTCCTCCTTTCTACTAACCTTGCTCTTAGTTTGTTCTTCTTTTTCTAGTGTTTGAAGGTGTAAATTTAGGTTTTTATATAAGATCCTTCTTCTATCTTAATGTCGGCATTTTTAAAACTTCCCTCTTAGTATTGCCTTTGCAGTATCTCGTGCTGCATTTTGTTCTCATTTGCCTTAGGGTATTTTTTAAGTCCCTTTTCATTTCCTTGTTGATTAACCGCCATTCAAGTGTCTGTTGTGTAGTTTGCACCTGTCTGTAGATCTTCTCTTGTCTCTTTTCTTTTTTCTGTTACTGATTTCTAGTTTCATTCCAATGTGTCAAATAAAGTACTTGGCATGACTTCTGTCTTGTAAAATTTGTCAAGACTTGTTTTGTGACCAAACATGTCATATCCTTCCAGAGATTATTCCATGTGGACTTGAGAAAAATGTGTAGTTTTCTGTTGTTGAGTGGAAAGTTCTGTGTATCTATTAGGTATATTTAGTTTACAATGTCATTCAAGTCTGCTTTGTGTTTAACTTTATCACCAAGCTGTACATTAGATCCCCAGAATTATTCATCTTATAAAGGAAATCTTACACCTTTGGACCAGCATCTCCTAGTCCGCCCTCATTTCAAGCCCCTGGTGAGTACCATTCTAAGCTTTGTTTCTGTGGATTTGACCCTCCCTCTCTCCTTTCCATTGTTTCTTTGAATCCAATCTTTTCTTTCTCTTCCTTTCTTCCCTTCCTTCCCTTCTTTTCTTCATTCTTTCCTTCTTTCCCTCCCTCCTTCTTTCCTTCTTTCCTCTCTATCATTCTCCCCCTCCCTTCCCTTCTTCCTTCTTTCTTATTTCACTTAGCATAGCGTTCTTGAGGTTAATTCATGCTGTTGCAAATGGCAGGAGTTCCTTCTTTCTTGTGACTGAGTAATTTTTCGTTTTCCATATCAGATCACATCTTTATTCATTCATTCATCTTTTTTTACTAACACTTAATTGTGTCCAAAGCTTCCCTGTTGTGAATAAGGCTAATAAACATGGGACTGGAGATACCTCTTTGAGATACTGATTCTATTCCTGTTGAATACATACCCAGGAATGAGACTGCTGGGTCATATGAAAGTTCTGTTAATTTTTTTGAGAAAATTCCACTTTACTTTCTGTATAGTTGTAACAAATTAAATTCCAAAGTGTACAAGGATTCTCTTTGCTCCAAAATCTTGCCAACATTATCTCTTGTATTTTTGATAAAAGACATTCTCAAACGTATGGTTTTGATATGTATTTCAATGATGAATAGTGATTTCAACTATCTTCTCATGTACTGGCTGGCCATTTGCGTGTATTCTTCAGAAAAATGTCTACTTAGATTCTTTTGCATTTTTGAAGCAGATTATTTGCTTTTTTCTACTGCTGAGTTGTGAAAATTCCTTATATATTTTGAATATCAACCTCTTATGAGATATATGGCTTTCAGTTCCATACTTTGCCTTTTCACTTCTTGATCTGATGAACAGAACTTTTTATTTTAATATTGTCCTGCTTACATTTTGGTTTTGGTTTTGATTTTGGTTTTGTTGCCTGTGCTTTTGGTGTCATATCCAAGAATATTATTGCCCAAACCAGTGCCAAGAAACTATTTCCCCAAGTTATATTCTAGGATATTAATGGATTGAGGTCTTATATTAAAGTCGTTCATTCATTTGCAGTTCATTTCTGTTGGGGTTTTCACATAGGGGTCCAGATTAACTCTTGTTTGTACATAACCAGTTTTCCCTGCATCACTTATTGATGTCACTATCCTTTCCCACTGTGTATTCTTGATTGATTTTTTAAATATTAGTTGACACATGGGTTTACTTGTGGGTGTCAATTCTGTTACACTGACTATGTGTCTATGTTTATACCAGAATCATACTATTTTAATTATTATTGCTTTCAAGCTATAGTCTGAAATCAGGTTGTTCTTTCTCAAGATTACTTTGATTATATGGGGATATTTTGTGATTTCATATGAATTTTAGGATTATTCATTCAACTTAGTTTACATAAGTAGGATAAATGTAAAAATGTAAGATATGCCATTGAGTTTTATTGAATGGTTTGAGAATGATTGGCATAAATTCTCCCTTAAATGTTTGGTAGAATTTACCAATGAAACCATCTGGTCCTGAGCTTTTTTTTATTGGGAGACTTTACATTTCTGATTTAATTTCATTTCTTCCTTATGGTCTGTTCAGATTTTCTATTTTTCTATGAATCAGTCTTGTTGGGTTCTGTTTCTAGGAATGAATCCATTTCTTCTAGGTTATCCAATTTGTTGGCATATGATAGTTCATTGTTCCCTTTATGGTCCTCTCCATTGCTGTGGCATATTGTGTAATGTCTCATCTTTCATTTCTGATTTAAGTTATCTGAGTTTTATCACTTTTTTCTCATCTAGCTTTACGTTTGTTCATTTTTTTTAATCTTTCCACAAAATAAGGTCTTTTGTGGTCTTTTATATTATTTTTTCTGGTTTCTATTTCATATATTTCTGTTCTGATGTTTGCTATTTCCATCCTCTGGTAACTTTGGGTTTCGTTTGTCTCTTTCATTTGAGTTTAAAATTGGCTCATTTACTAGAGTTCTCCTTTTTTCTTAATGTGTACTTTCCTCACTGTAAACCCTCCTCATGGAAGTGCTTCTATTGTGTTTAAATTTTCATTTCCTTTAGAATGTTTTCTGATTTCTCTTTGCTACCTCTTTTGACCCATTGTTCAGAAATGTTTAGCTTCCTCATATTTGTCAATTTTCCAGTCTTCCTCCTATTAGATTTCTAGTTTCATATCATTGTATTCCAAAATATGTTTGGTATAATTTCAGTCTTCTTAAGGTTTTTAAGGCTTGTTTTGTGACCTGACATGTTATCTCTCCTGAAGAATGTACTGTGTGTGCTTAAGATGAATACGTATTCTGCCACTGACTGAAATTTTCTGCAAATGTCTGTTAGGTCCATTGGTTTAAGTTTGGTTTAAGTCTAATGGCTCATTATTGATTTTCTGGGCGAATGACCCATTCATTTTTGAAAATGGAGTATTGAACTCTCCTACTATTAATGTATTGCCGTTTGTTTCTCTCTTGAGACCTTTTCGGTTGTGTTGAATGTATTTAGGTGCTCCAATGTTGGATACATGTATTTACAATAGTTGTATTCTCTTGATGACTTGACCTCTTCATTTTATAATGTCTTCTTGTCTCTTGTTACAGTTTTGACTTAAAATCTATTTTCTGAAACAAGTATTGCTACCCCTGCTCTCTTTTGATCTCCACTTGCATGAAATGTTGTTTTCCTTTCATTCACTTCAGCCTATGGGTGTCCTAAATGCTGAAGTAAGTCTCAGTTTATTTTCACCTAGAGGTAGTATAGAGTTGAATCTTCTGTTGGTTCTTCTTTTATTTTTTTAAATGCATAAAGTCTCTATGTCTTTTAATGGGGGCACTGAATGCATTTACATTTAATGTAATTATTAATAGATAAGGACTTACTGATGCCATCTCATTAATTGTTTTCTGGCTGCTATGTAGTAACACTGTTAACTTGAATTTCTCTTGCACCCTTTCTTAGAGAAGTCATGATTTTTCAGAGTGGTATACTTTGAATCCTTTATCTTTTGTGTATCTACAACAGGTTTTGTGTGTGTGTGGTTTTCATGAGGCTCACATGAAATTTGTTACAGATAAACAGTCTATTATTAGTTGGTAACAAATTCATTTTGATGGCATACAAACTTTACCCTTTCAGTTTCTTCCTCAAATGTTTTTTGATGTTACAATTTACATATTTTATGTGTGTAGTAACATTTTCATGATTTCACATTACTAATTAACGTCATTTATTTCAGTTCAAAGAACTTTCAGTATGTCTTGTAAGACACACCAAGTAATAATAAATTCCTTCAATTTCTATTTGTCTGAGAAAGTCTTTATCTCTCCTTCCTTTGTGAGACTGCTTTTCCCGGTAAAAAATTCTTCAGTGGCAGGTTTTTATTTCATCAATTTGAATGTGTCATCCCACTGTCTGCTGCTGTGCAGTGTTTCTGCAGATTTATTAATGTGCTTATGTCCTTATGGGAAATCCCTTTTGCATGAGGAGATTTTCCTCTATGCTTTAAAAATTATCTCTTTGCCTTTGAGTTTAAACAGTTTTTTACAATGTGTTTTGTAGACGATCTCTCAGTTTAATCTGTTTGTGGACTTATGAGATGCATGATCTTGAATGTCTGTATCTAGCCAGATGTGAGGAGTTCTCAGCTATTATTTCTTCACATAAACGTTCTGCCCCTTTGTCCCTTTCCTCTCCTGGGACTCCCACAGTCTCTATAATGTTTCTATTGATAGTCTCCCACAATTCCAATAGTCTCGATTCATTCCAACAGTATTGTTTCAAATGCGTTGTCTTCTGCTTCACTGATTTTTTTCCTGCTGGATTGTTTACTGTTGATGCTCTTGACTGTATTTTTCATTTCATTCATTGTATGCTTTACCTTTACTATTTGGTTCTTTTTGTTTTCTATCTCTCTATTAAACTTATTTTTTTGTTCAATTGTTGTTTACCTGAGTTCTTTTAATTGTCCTTCTGTGTTTTCTTGTATCTCACTGAAATTTTTGATGTAACTCTTTTGAATTCTTTATCAGATAAATTGTACATATCCATTATTTGGGGTCACTTACTGGAAAGTTATTGTGTTTCTCTGTTTGTAGAATGCACCTTTGATTTTTGTGTTCCTTGAAGTCTCATGTTGCTGTCTTTACATACAAAGAAGCAGGCACTTCCTCTAGCCTTTACAGACTGACTTGGGGAGGAAATACATTTAGTCATGCTGCTGGCGACTCTGAGGCTTTTTCAGACCTTTAAAGGGTACACCTGCTCCATACATTGTGATCCCTCTTGAGGGGAGAATCTGCAGTTCTTGTGTTTCTCTGAATCCAGCAAAGCCGACTGTGTGCCGGCAACTTCCTGGTCGGTTTCCCCATGCTAAATGTTCACTTCTGCGTGCCTTCTCACAATCTCACAGAGACAGCCTGGCGTTTGAGATGCGCTCACTAGCCATCTTCAAAGGCTTGCATTGCCACCTTTGGGGACATACACAGGGAGCTGGCCATGCAGCAGGGGAATGTGCAAGTTTTAAGGGTGTAAGCAGGGTTCACAAG